GGTCTAAGAAAAAAAGAGAATTATCTAATCATTAAAAAAAAAAAAAAAATCCACAAAACTCCTAAGGATATACTGAGGAGATTTTAGCTTCAGCCGGCCTGACAGTCTTAGAGAGCCGAGTGTAGGGATGGACTCAGTAATTCACCACAAGCAACTATGAGAATATTCAGTCCATTTGTTCATGTGCCCCAAGAGGGTGACCTGAATGACATGGAGGCCAGAATTAATAACAAAAGCTACCACCTGCAGTGGGTTAGAAAGGGCAAAATCAACGTTGAACTCTACCAGCCCCTGTTGCAGTCTGATGCTATTAACAAGGCTGGGGGGCTTTGAATCAAGAGTGCTTGGAAAGCAAAGCAGAATCCCACCAAGAGAAGTGCTAATCAAAGAAAACCTGCCCCTCTGGCCCTAACCACACACTATAGGTGACCCCCCTGCAAAAAAAAAGGGACATTTGAACCTGATCCACCAAGTAGCCACAGCTTCCTAGGGGTCACAAAAGTAACATCTTTTTATATCTGCTTCATTCCATGGTGGCCTCTAAAGATTGTCTTGTTATCTGAGGCTGTCATAAGAAAATGCCACAAATGGCTGGGCACAGTGGCTCACGCCTGTAATCCCAGCACTTTGGGAGGCCATGGCGGGCAGATCACCAGAGGTCAGGAGTTTGAGACGAGCCTGGCCAACTTGGTAAAACCACGTCTCTACTAAAAATACAAAAATTAGCTGAGCATAGTGGTGGGTGCCTGTAATCCCAGCTACTTGAGAGGCTGAGGGAGGAGAATTGCTTGAACACTGGAAATGGAGGTTGCAGTGAGCAGAGATTGTGTCAAAAAAAAAATTGTGTTGAGGTCCCTCTTTTGGTTTGCAGATATCTGCTTTATGGCTGTTTCCTCAAGTGGCCTTTCCTGGGCTCATTCTGTCTCTCTCCCCCTTTCTCTGACATCTCTCCTTCTAAGGGCACTAATCCCATCATGGGTCTGTTTACTTCTTATAGGCCCCATCTCCAAAGACCCTCGCATTGGGGGTTAGTGCTTCTACACATGAATTTGCAGGACAGGAAAGGGAGTACAAGCATTCAGTCCATAACACTGACCCAACTTGATTGAATTAAGTAACAATGCTCCTTTCCGTTTAAAAATAGAGTAAGAGAGAAAAAGCCTGACCAGGGCCTGAAAAATCCCACTTGTGCAAAGAAATGAGAATTGGCTGCCTAGCTCTGCCCAGTTAAGCAGGTTTCATGATGGATCACCGTCACTGTGGGCCGCTTTCAGCACTGGTGGAAGACTTCCTCAAGACCCTTTTTCTGCAACTCAGAGCAAATATTCTTCTCCCTTCCTTGTACATCTAGAGAAGAGGAGCAAACGGAGAGACAAGGCATGAAGCCCAGGGAACGAGACTGAAAAAGACTCTCTTCCCAGACTGTCAGTCAGGTGGCTGCTTTTGTCACAGGAACTAGGAATTGTGAATTACAGTCTCCCTCCCTCCCTGCCAAAGCTGCTCCCCTGTGGCCCTCTCTCTTTGTTTTCTGACTATTTCAGATTCCTGTTGAACATCCCTGAGTTCAGAAGCCCTTGTTTTGAGGGGAGAGAAAACAGGCAGTTGACGAAATCACTGCACACAGGTGTCAGTGCAGAGGCAATGCCTTGTACCAAACAGCACACACCCTAAGGAATTTCCAAGGTGCATTTCAGAGGCTGGAATGTCTTGGTAGAATAACAATAACATGAAGATAGTGTTTCATCTTATACCTCACAATTCAATGGAAATCATCGGACTTCATTTAAGGAGTAGCACAGTGAGTTTAGAAAATTAAAGCATTTGAATCATGTAATTCTTCCTACTAGGGCATTTAGGGGTGGTGGGGTTGTGAGGGCTTCAGACTCTGCTATCATAAGAAAGTGCTGTTAAAGCTATGGTCTGAGAAAGTAAACGTGGCTGTTAAGACAGACAGACACACACACACACACACACACACACACACACACACACACACACACACACACACACACACACAGCAGCCAGAGTAATCTTGCCAAAATGGAAATTTGAGTATGTCACACAGATGAGCAATGAATTAACAAAGGTTTCAAGGTGGTTAAAATGCAATTCAGCCTCTGCCACAAGCTATGGGATGCTGGGCAAATCCCATCCTTCTCCAGATTTCGTTCTAAGAGGAAGCTCTTGTCAGAACACTGAGCAATTACTACATTCCAGTAACTGTGCTGGAAGCTTTTAAAATATATTATCTTAATCTTTACAGAAAACCTGCATGGCTGGGAATATTGTTATCCCCTTTTTACAGATAAGGAATACTGGAGTAAGAGAGTCAATTCCTTGCTTAAAATCCCATTGGCACTAGTGAAGAATTAGGATACCGACAAGGATCTGTTTGACTAGTTATTCACACGTGCATTCCTTCACTTAATAAATTATGATTCCATGCTTGCGTTGTCCTGGATGCCACTGTAGACAGAAGACATCAAAAGTCGCTTGGACTCTACCCTTACAGAATTTATTCTCTCGTGGAGGGGACGGAGAGTTATTAATTAAATGCATAAATCTATACCTGTAAAATGACAATCCTTCTAAGCATTGTTAAGGAAATGAGAAAACACAACAGGCTATCCCCTAGTCTGGGAGTTACGGAAAGAAGTGACATTCGAGATGAGACTGGTGAATGACTAGAAGTTAAGTGAGTGAAAGAGAAGGGATGGAGATAAGACATGGGGTTATCAGCCCACAGATATGTGAAGTAAGGGAAGCAGGTGACATCATCCAGATGTAAGACAGTGGTTCTGCCAGCCTTTGGAATGTCTGAATTATCAACCTAGCATATGGTCTTGGACATGTGTAGGTTTTGGCTGAATGCACTATCTCACAGGGCTACTGTGGGTATGAAATGATTATGTATTTAGTGTTTGCACCAATAGGCAAGCCACATCTTTACCAAGTTTTATAAAGGATAGAGCATGGAGAGAAGCAAACCTAAGGTTAACTCTTGAGGGACATCAACAGTTAATTCCTCAGCAGAGGAGGCTAAGCATGCAGACAGGAAGGGAAAGGAACAGTGCGAGCCGTGGACTGCCACAGAAATCGAGGCGGGAGAGTTTACAGGAGAAGGAAGAGGCATCAGCTGGGTTCAGTGTTGCTGAAACAGCAGGAAAGACGCTCACCTTAATGTTGCTCATTGGATTTAGCAATGCAGAGATCCTTGGTGAGACCAGAAATACCTTTTTTAAAAAAGATTGTATAAATTTAAGGGGTATAAATACAGTTTGGCTACCTGGATATATTGCTTAGCTGTGAAGTCTGGGCTTTTAGCATAACCATCACACAGATAATGTACATTGTACCCATCAAGAAATTTCTCATCTCTCACCCTCTTCCCACGCTTCCGCTTTCCTGTCTTCAATGTCCAGTACGACACCCTCTCCCTGCGCATATACATGTTAGTTAGCTCCTACTTATAAATGACAACATGTACAATTTGACTTTCTGTTTCTGAGCCATTTCACTTAAGATAATGGCCTCAGTTCCATCCATGTCACTGCAAAAGTCATGATTCCATTCTTTTTGTGGCCAAGCCGTATTCTACTGTATGTATGTGTGTGTGAATATTTGAAATCAAGAATCGGAGTCTTTCAATGTTCTTCTTTGTTTTCAATATTGATGAGGGTATTGTGAGTCCCTTGCATTCCCATATAACTTGTATGATCATTCTTGTCAATTCTAGAACAAAATAAGGCTGCTGGGATTTTGATAGGCACTGCATTGAATTTGTAGATCAATTTAAGTATATTGCTATTTTAACAACATTAAATTTTCTGATCCATGGAAAGGGGTAACTTTTCATTTATTTCAGTCTCCTTAAAATTGTAACAATTGCTTTGCAGTTTTCAGTATACAATTAATTCTTACATGTATTTGGTTAAATTTACTCCTAAATATTTTATTTGGCATTTTAATTTAGGGGAAATTTAAAAGCAAGTGGAATTGCATCTCAGTTTTATTTTCAGATTCTTGATGGCTAAGGTATAAAAATACTGAACATTGTTAGCTTGTCCCGTAACCCTGCTGAACTCACTCATTACTGCTAAGAGTCTTTCTTTGGCTTAACAAAATTATAGACAAGACTTTTTTATCTGTAAATAGTGATAGTTTTACTTCCTTGTTTTTAGTCAGGATGCCCATTATTATTATATTATTATTATTATATTATTTGGCTTCTCCAATTACCCTGGTGAGAACCTCCAATACCATGTTTAATAGGAGTGGTCAGAGAAGACGTCTCTGCCTCATTTCCAAGCTTAAGGGAAAAGCATCCAGCTTTTCACCATTAAATATAATGTTTTCCTCTATTTCTAATTTGTTGACTTTTTTTTTTCTATCATGAAAGGGTTTTGAATTTGGTGAAATAATTTTCACCATCTATTGACATGATCGTGTAGTTTTTGCTCTTGATGCTATAAACATAGTATTGATTTTTGTGTATTAAACAAGCCTCGTAATCCTAGGATAAATCCTTCTTGGTCACAATGCATAATCCTTTTCATCTGTTTCTGGATTAATTTTGCTGGTATTTTGTTGAGGGTTTTGGGTCCGTATTCATAAGGGATATTTACTGTTGTCTTCTTGTGACCTCTTTCTCTGATTTTGGCACCAGTCTAATACTGGCCTCGCAGTCTGAGTTGTGAGCAAGTCCTATTTTGCCTGGCACATCTTCTCATCAAATATTCACATGAGCCCTATTTCCCTCTATTCAAAAGGAATCCTACGGTGCTTCAAGTACACACGTGTGATTTGTCAGTTCAGGATTATCTTTTTTTTTTTTTTTTTTGAGACGGAGTCTCGCTCTTGTTACCCAGGCTGGAGTGCAATGGCGCGATCTCGGCTCACCGCAACCTCCGCCTCCTGGGTTCAGGCAATTCTCCTGCCTCAGCCTCCTGAGTAGCTGGGATTACAGGCACGCGCCACCATGCCCAGCTAATTTTTTTGTATTTTTAGTGGAGACGGGGTTTCACCATGTTGACCAGGATGGTCTCGATCTCTTGACCTTGTGATCCACCCGCCTCGGCCTCCCAATGCGCTGGGATTACAGGCTTGAGCCACCTCTTAATGCTTCTCTGGGACCACTGCTTTGGCCTGTAGGTATTTTCTGCCCTCCTGAGGATGTCCTACAATAGTCCTTCACCAGTTCTGTCACTCATCACTCCCACAACGTCACATGGAAGTGTATTCTAAATGCTCCTGGGAAGGCTGGCCAAGGAAAAAGATCGTTCTGAATTCCTCCAGCCCTTTTAACTCAAGCTGACCAGCTGATCCAGACTAGTGAGAACACAGGAAACAGTAAAGATTAAAAAAATGGCCTTTTTGTTAGCATGACTTATGGAATAGTCAGATGTAATTAACCTAGAATACTACTGAAAGGTACAATCATGTATGGAATGTACCTGATGCTACAGGAGGCAATAGAAAGAAGTAGGCTATACCTCTCCAGCAGAGGAACTAGAGGAAAGATTATCAGTCAGTGCTGGAGGATCTCATTGACCCCAGTTCCAAGGTAGTGGTTGGTTAGCATGGAGTGGTTTAAGACAAGTGTAGTTTAGCCTTAAGTGATTACCTGTAATGCTAAGTAAACCATCTCCAGTCATGGGTACCAAAGTACAGAAAAACGCACAGACATATGGGCAAGCACAGGGCTCTCATCTTGTAAGTTGAGATTACTGGTTCAGGTTTTCGCCCATCAGACTATACCAAATGAGGGGATTAAGAATCCTGAACACACCCACTTCAAAATGGACTACTTTTCTGACTTTTTCTTGTTTTCTTCAGCTTTTAAGTTCAGGGGTACATGTACAGGATGTGCAGTTTTTTTTACATAGGTAAACATGTGCCATGGTGATTTACTGCACAGACAATCCCATAACCCGTTATGGAGCCCAGTATCTGTCAGCTATTCTTCCTGATGCTCTCTTTCCCACAACAGATGCTCAGTGTGTGTTAATCCCCTCCTCATGTGTCCATGTGTTCTCCTCATTCAGCTCCCGCTGATAAGTGAGAACCTGCGGGGTTTGGTTTTCTGTTCCTGAGTTAGGTTGCTGAAGATAATGGCTTCCAGCTCCATCCATGTCCCTGCAAACATACAATCTCATTCCTTTTTATGGCTGCATAGTATTCTATGGTGTATATGTACTGCATTTTCTTTATCCAGTCTATCATTTACGGGGGAATTTAGGCTGATTCTTTCAACCTGTGAATTCGATGAGAAGTCTCCTCACCTGCCTTTGCATTCTGGAAAGTGGTATTTATTTACCACATTTTCAACTGTGCCTCTTATTTTTAGAGTTAAGAATTTTAAAATATATACAGTCATGCATCACTTAAGGATGGGGGTACATTTCAAAAATGTGTCATTAGCCAATTTTGTTGTTGTCCAAGCATTACAGAGTACAGTTACAGAAATCCAGAGGATGTATACATTTTTAATCATACTAAATATTAATTTCCTCTATTTGATGTGCAAGGCCAATATCAGGATGTTAGATATGTTTCATTATGATAGTAGTATCACCATTGTATCTGTGGTCCATCATTCCCCAACACATTGTTACATGGTGCATGACTGTACATCATTTGCCCTGTCTTCCCACCTCCCTGTTTCTCATTGTAGTTGCTACTTACTGTTTTTCCCTGGGTAATGGAGTATGAGGGAAGAAATAAACATTTTTAAAAGGCCTGATGCTCCTTTTGTCTGTGACCTTTTTAGTGGCTTTGGGTTAGAATTGGACGTTACAAGGGAAGTTTTTCCACCATTTTAATTAGGGTTTCTGAAGTTTAAAACCCACAATAATCTTATTATTTGTTATTTTTTAGAAACCGCAGGAGAAAAAATGAGAGGATCCTTAGCTCTAAAGTCACACTGTTAAGGCCATCAACATTTTGGTCATTTTATTTTTACTTGTATAATAAACTTGTTAGACCAGGGTTTCTAAGAATGTCATATGTGCAACAAAACGGCAAACTGAATTCTTTGAGGGATACATTTGAGTCCTCTGAGAAGCTGAATTACTAACTGCTTCAAGAAATGAAAACTAGAAATACAGGCTAGTTTGTCTGTTCATTACTGCAGTAAAGGATAGGTGACAGCTAAAGATGGCATGGCTAGGAAAAGTTTATATTCCCAATTAATAAGAAAAAGAAAATAGACAGTGAAACAGTTCAGGCTTAATTAAGACCTTGACAAAGAGCTGTTGTTAAAAACATAGGCTAAAAAATTAAATAGAAATGAATTATTAAAAAGCAGTATGTCTGAATGCCGTTTATTGACTTTTCTGATCTATCAAATAATTTCCACTTAAATTTAAGGAGAATGAAAGATGAGAAAGATCTACGGGTATGAGGAAGAAACAATATTATGTTTCTAGGTAGCAGTGACAAAATTTATGCTCTTTCTGATCAGGAATTACATTTTGAAGTAGGGTAGAACAAGAACAACATAGTCAAGCAATATGGAATTTTTGAGTTATGTTCCCAAGATGCAATTCTTTAAGGAATATGAGAAATTAAAATCATGTAAGCCAGCCAGCGCTGGACAGGAAAATTGTAATGGATCTCACCGGGGACCCAGAGTTGCTAATGTTTTCAGTAAGTCATCACTGCTTCTCTAATCACGCTGATACCGATCTGAAGATAGCTCCAAAATGGCCACTAGACAACGTGACAATGCACGCCACCCATGGCATGATGTATTCCAAGGAAGGCTGCCAAGGCCAGTCTTGGGTTAGCATTCTGAGAGGCACTGGGGTGCAGTGGGTAGGGGGGCACACTCCTCACCTGGGTTTGGATTCTGGCTCTCCTTCTTGCTCATTCTGTAGTTTTGTGGAATTCTCTCAAGCTCTCTGCCCTCTATTTCCTCTCTACAGAGCATGCATAATAGTAATATCCAGCTCATAAGATTAAGTTTAGTATGATGCATGGGACATGCTGAGTTGCTCTCAGAATATTACCAATCATCATTATGGTTATTGGGGTGATGCTAATAAATGTACAGTGCTGTCCAGTGGGAGATGGCCTTTGGCTCATTCTGAACTGCACTGTTATTCAAGGCTTTATTTTGTTTCTTTCTTCTTATTAATCTCCAGGGAGTAATATTCCATGATGGTGGCATTTTGGATACAGACACTATTTCTTAATGTAAATTAAGGCCCCAAACAGCAGCTAGTTGGATGAAGTCCAAACCCTAAAAAGAAGGGACTGGCATTGGCAAGGATTTGAAAAATTGTCAGGGCAGCAATCAGATGATTTGAATTTACAAGAAGAGCCACCATCTCATCAGGAAAAGCAGACAGCAAATCAGGAAATTAAATTCTACAGGCCGGGTTAACATGAGAGCAGTAAGAGCAATGCCTTGCTGCTGCAGCTTATTAGATATTGGGTAGACTTCCACTAAGCCTCAGGTGGTCTAGATATCAGGATGTGCTTCCCAAGGCCTTCAGGTGATTGTCTTGTAGCTCTGTAGCATTCTTTCCCAATAGTCATTATGTTTTATGTCTCATCACCTAAACATCCAACAGCTGACAGCACCGTGAGTGGACACCTGACCTAAAGGCATGCATCTATAGTCTGGCCAGTGGCCCAGGTAGTCTCTGAGAAGTTTCCCGCAAACAATTATATTGTCAGTTACAGGATGTGACAGCTAACCTATCAGCAGAAAGGCATGGGTAAGAACTTCACTAAACAAGAAAAAAAAAATGATAGCAACCACGGATCTATAGTGTACACACAAATGGTTGTATGATAATGATATGACAACCATCATAACTAGTGTTTCTCCCAGTGACTAAGTGATCAGCAAACATTAACATCATGTTGAGTATATTGGTGTTTTAATACTATAAAAACTATGATAGATGTTAACAAGATTTGCATCTAAATTAGGATTTTAAAAATAAATTTTTGAAAATTATAAAAAATGTATGCTGAACTCTCCGTAAAACTATCCAGGTTATCATTTCTTTGGTGTTTCTGGATGGCTAAGATTTAGCTATTATTGAAAGTCGTGACTGATGAAATAAATGGATGGTTATAAGTGTCTTCTCTTTCTGAGGATGTTTCAGACAAGTGAACTTTAGAGGGCAAATACAGACCTACAAAAATTGATCACAAATTTATAAATGGTTAGAACTGGAAAGGAAGGGGAAGTGAGAATCATTAAGACTCTCCTCCTGCAGGTAATGTGCCAAGGGATTTACCATACACTTAAATTTCAGCGTTTACAGGAGATAGGCATCAGTATCTCTTTTTTTTTTTTTTTTTTTTGAGACTGAGTCTCCCTCTGTCACCCAGGCTGGGGTGCAATGGCACACTGTCAGCTCATTACAATCTCTGCCCCCAGGATTCAAGCAATTCTCCTGCCTTGGCCTCCCGAGTAGCTGTGACTACAGGTGCAGACCACCACGCCTGGCTAATTTTTGTATGTTTATTAGAAACAGAGTTTCACCATATTGGCCAGGCTGCTCTCGACTCCTAACCTCACAATCTGCCCGCCTGGGCATCCCAAAGTGCTGGAATTACAGGCGTGAGCCGCCGTGCCTGGCCAGTATCTCTATTTTAGAGGTGAGAATAGTGAGCTATTTGTTCATGTATTCTATGTTGTTGCTAAACAAATCATCCAAAACTTAGTGACTTAGACAGAAATACTTTGCTATGGCCTCTCATGGCTTTGTGGGTTGACTGGGCTCAGCTAGATAGTTTTTGCTTGGGCTTTCTTTTGCATAGCTGGGGCTGCAGTCATCTGAAAGCTCTACTGAGCAGGACACCCAAAATGGTATCATTATTCACATGTGTAGCACCCTAAGATGGTTTAATCAGCAGGAGCCTGGCTGGGTCTCCCTCTCTCTCTTTCTCCCTTCATGTGGCCTGTCCACATCAAGCCTGGGCTTCCTTACAACATGGCAGTGGGAGGTATGTCAGACCCTTTATGTGGTGATTGGTATCCTCCAGACTGAGCTATCGGTTTCTTATGTCCTGCCCTCAGAAGTCTCAGTATGCGGGTCCCGCGCGGTGGCTCACGCCTATAATCCCAGAACTTTAGGAGGCCAAGGCAGGTGGATCACTTGAGGTCCGGAGTTCGAAACCAGCCAGACCAACACGGTGAAGCCCTGTTTCTACTAAAAATATGAAAAATTAGCCTGGCATGGTGGCTCATGCCTGTAATCCCAGCTACTCAGGAGGCCAAGGCATCGCTTGAACCTGAGAGAAAGTGCAGTGAACTGAGATCACACTAGTGCACTCTAGCCTGGGTGACAGTGAGACATCGTCTCAAAATAAATAAATAAATAAAAAGTCTCAGTATGCCCCTCCTCTTGGTAAAGTAAGTTACTCAGGCCAGCGCAGGCACAGGAAAATAAATTAGGCCCCATCTGTCCCTGGGAGGAGCGTCACAGGATCGATGGCCATCTTTTAAAAAGTTACACCACAGTAACCCAATTAGTATGAGAACTAAATCTTGGTGTATCATATAACAACATCCATATCATGTTTAGGAAATTAACCCTAAAACACATCTTATGTTGCTGATTCAGTAGCTGAGTCCCAGATAGATGAAGCCATGTAATTCAATTCAAAATATTATCTGGGAATTTTCTACATATAAGACTGTCCAGAATTGATTTGTTAAAAAATAAGAAACTACCTCTAAGAAGGAGGTGCAAATTCAACTAATTTAAAGCAACTCAACACAATGTACTATCAAAAATCCTACAGGGAGCTCTCCAGAGCAAGCCGTATATGCTGGGATTTGTAAGGCCCTAAAACCTAATGGCCGTGCCAGGACAAAAAGCCGCATGCATTCTGCTCTTTCTGCATAATCACCAGGTGGCTGAGACTTAGAACAGATGGGCAAGTCCCAGAGAGTGGCTCATGTCATACGTCTGGGATGTTAACATGTTGGGGTGGAACATCCCTGCGCTTGTAGTAGCAGAAAATCTGTGCTTCTCTTTGCATTTAGAGCCATGAAGAAAATCACCACTGACCTGTGAATATGCAAGAGGAAATCCAACAGTGATGACAGTCCTCTGAACCAAAAAGAAAGAGGACAGATAATTCCAGGATTTTAGTGTTTTTCATATGTCACAGGCCATACATGAGCATATTTGGAAATCAAGTGTGGTGAGTACAAGAGATATCCTTGAAAATGGGGAGAAAAATGTTATCAGGTTTTTTTAACCAGTGGTGATAATGAGAAATTAGACCAGACATTCTTATAAAAATCCATCCCTACAAAACCATTTTATATAAAAAATAATAAGAACAGAACTAATTTAGTTAGGTAATTATCACATGCATTTCACATCAGCCCAAAAGCAACCAGAAACCACTAGCAGTACACCCTGCCGTTCTCATCAAGCAGGGGGTTAATGGGAACAAACCTGGAATTGACTTTTGCAGAAAGTCAAAAGATGCATCTACCATCTTCAAAAGGTAATAATCGCCACGGACCTCCCCTTGTGATCTCCACTATGCAATGAGGTTTCCCCTGGAGCTTTGGGGAGCAGGAGAAATCTTTCTCTTCCCCTCTTTCTGGTTGCCCCCTCCCACCCCAGAGTGCTGGAGGTATAAGGTGAATGAATCGCTTTACACAGATAGTCCTAGAGATTAATACATCTTATTAGCAACAGAACAAAATCTCAATGTCTTCAGCCCCTCTTCTGAAACAGGCCTAGCAATCCATACATGGCCTTGATCATCTGTTCTTGTCAGAATATGAGGTTGGGAGGGGATTTTCCCCCATGCATATAGCTATATGTGGTTCATATAATTTGTGCCATTGCTCATCTGTCAAACATTAAGCTTCATTCATTTAGTCATCCATTCATTCAAGCAACACACTGTATTAGGTAATGAGAAACGAGACAAATAATCCCTGTATTTAATGAACTCATAATATGTTGCACAGGGAAAAAAAAGCTAAAATTAGAGTGCAGCATGAGGCATTATGACCTCTTTCTAGGACATGCATAAAGCAAGGGATCAGGAGAGCTTGACCTGTGGACTGACATGCACAAAGGTAGAAACAAGCGTCTAATCTGGGTAGGTCTTTTAGACAGAGGACAAACAAAATAGACAACATAGAATTTAAAAATGATGAGCCTTACGCAGGCTTGGAGTATAGGATTCATAAGAGGAATTCGCAGATGAAATCAACCTGCTACTGTGTACTCAAAGTTTAGTCCACAGACATGCACCATCAGCAGTCCCTGAGAGCCCTTTAGGAATGCATAGTCTCAGGCTTCCCTGCAGAACTGCTGAATCTGAATCTGCACTTTGACCATATCCCAGGTGATTTGCATGTATGTTAGAGTTTGAGAAGCACTGGACTAGGGCACCCAGTACCTGGCAGATTAGTTGGAAAATGATGAAAATAAAAAATAAACCTTCCAATCCCTGACACACACAAACCTGCCAGGAGGCAACTGCGTCTGAAGATCCTGAGAATTCCGAGAATTCTTATTCATCTGTCCTGTACGATAGAGATCATGCCTATCAGCCCATAGTTCTCAGTTAGCAACATGGGTTTTTGATGAGTTTGACCACGTTTCCCTCATCAGTTAAGATGTCTAGTAAGATACTATTTTGACAGTATGTTTTTATTTTTGGTAGTTTTTTTAACCTCATGGTTCTTCTCCATTCAAAAGAGACAATGAAGGATCCACTGCCCCAGGTTGGGTTATTTACCACGGAGTCTGGAAAATAAAGTCAGTTCTAGTCTTTTGAGTATCAAGGTGGAATTTGAAGGGGATATGCTTTGGGAATTAAAGAAAATAAACTTTAATCTTCAAAATTCTGAGCCACAAGGAATTGAAAGCACTTGGAAAAGGGGGAACTTGGATAAGAGACCCTACATCCTGGAATCTAGACTGAGGCTTAGCACCCCATAGATTTGTGAGAGAAGACCTGGGCCTTATCTCCTGGGTCACTTCAGGTTTCTATGAGCTCTTAATAGGAAAGGAGAGTTCTTGGTGCCCCCAGATAAACAGGGGCAGTAAGATGTTCTGAAATTCCAAAAAGAGAAAATGACAAAATGAATGACGTATTAGCCAGAGTTCTCTAGAGAAACAGAATCAACAGAAGAGCAAGCTATCTATCTATCTATCTATCTATCTATCTATCTATGTATTTATCTATCTATCAATCAATCAATCAATCAATCATCTATCTCTACCCCTCTCTCATATATAGATATATATATAAGGAGCTCAGCCTCAGTCTAGAATCCAGGGGTACCTTATTCATCCAGGACTCATAATCTCATAATCATTCAACTTCCTTCTTGAATAATTACAAGTCCTGGTTAAGGTTTTTTATATATACATATATATTTATATTTATATTTATATACATACATACATACACACACATACATATATATACACATATATATACACACACGCGCATACATACTACACACATACACATATACATGTATGTATAAACATACATATGTATATATATACACATAGGTAGACACACACATCTCCATATATATGTGGAGAAACAGAGGGAGTTATGATGGACTGGCTCACACAATTATGGAGACTGAGAAGTTTCATGATTGGCCACCTGCAATTTGAAAGCCAATGAATTTCATTCTAGTTTAAAGCCAAAGGCCTGAGAACCAAGGAGCCAATGGTGTAAGTCTCACCCCAAGTTGACAAACCCAAGAATTAGGAGCTTTGATGTCTGAGGGTAGGAAAATTTAGATGTCCAAGTTCAAGCAAAGAGCAAATTTGCCCTTCCTTGGTCTTTCTGTTCTATTCTGACCCTCAGAACAGATGATGCTGGTTCACATGGAGAATGTTATTGTCTTTATTCAGTCCACTGATTCCAATGCTAATCTCTCCAGAGATATCCTCACAGACATACCCACAAGTAATGTTTTACCAACTATCTGGTCATTCCTTAGTCCAGTCAAACTGACATGTACAAGTGAGCAACACAGACAAGGATGGCAGTGAACATGAAGGGGCCTCGATGCCTGCTTACAGAATGAGGAGCATGATGTGCACAGATGGATGACTGAAGGTCTGTTTCACCCTCATCCTCAGCAAAGCTTGGTGTCTGATTACTGCTCCCCCATAGCACCTAAGACATAGGCCAGCTAAGTCTCCCTACATCTACTGAGATTAATGGTTTGTGCTTTTCAAAATGGGGACTTATAGCATATCTATGTATACATTTTAGGAAAAACAGAGATATTCTATCACTGTGTGTTTGTGCTGTGAACATTAATGCCTGCTGCAGACATGTGTGACTCAAGAACAGGACCAGTCCCAGCCCTGATGTACAGATCTCCTGTGAGCAGCCCACTGGCTGAGCAGACCCACCCCATCATGAACATGCACGAGGGTGGCTTATTCCCTTGGTGTATCCAGCAATTCTGTGCAAGCTAACTGTGATTCTATCCGTTTTTATTACACTTAAGAAAAAACAGAGAAAACCAAAGAAGTCATAGTGATGCTATTGTAAAGAAAACATTGAATTATTATTTCTTTATAAAATTCCATCAGTCATATAAGACTGTACTTTAATGCAGGTAA